CTCTCCAGTGAATCTTTCCATAATGCGTCCTTCTCTTCCTTCAACCGCGTGGCGGCAGCGCTGCCGGCGGAGAAGTGGCGGCCGAGCTGGAACCTGCCAAAAAGTGCTGCAATGGGAGTCAGCACTGGGCATTTAGGATTCAACAGAGCTTCTTTTGTGGATGGACAGCAGATTGAGTATAGAAGCCTCGTAGCGGAGGACCGGGAAGACTGAGCCATCGTTAGGTTTTGGTAAAACCCTGCGATAACTGATAAAACCTCTCCCGTCTCCGGGAAGCAAGAAAGGCTCGCACAGGTTTCGTCTTTGGGATTTTTATTTTATTATTGTTTCATTATTTATTTTTATTTTTTTTGAGGAATGTTTCAATGTTTTTTTGGAAGAAGGGGGTTAGATTAATATCAGCATTCAATAAGATTAAAATAACAAAAGAATCCCATGTAATCATCCGCCCTTGGGCCAGACCCAAAGTTAACACATTTTGACAAAGTAATATAACTCGTTGATCCTAAATTGGGCATAATTGAGCCAAAAAAGGTTATCGCAGAACTCTCATCACCTTATCCTAATACAAAAGTCTTACAATACGAGATAAAATAAAAACAAAAAATAACAATCTCTGTGTGGAAATTAAAATGCAAAATAGCAATGAAATAAAAATCAAAGTGTGTCTTCTTCAGCAGTAACATCAATCGCATGACTGGCGGGTCTAGAAGCCGGACCAGCCGCCTCCCTATTTTTTGCTTTATCCAGAACCATCTTCTCACCTGTTGTGTCCTCTTGTGCCTGTTCCTCCCATATTCTTTTGCTTTTTTGGTCCGTTCGTTTGGGCTTAAATTTGTCCGTTTCAGGTTTAGTGAGTCATGTTGCTTTATATAAGGTGACTAACTCTATGTATACTTCTGTGATTCACAATTGGATCTGTAAAATCTGCCTAAAGGTTGTCTTGTATGTATTCTCGTTTTTAACAGGGAAAATGGGCAAATAAGGCCACATACTAACCAAAAAAGGTCAAATAAGGCCTTATTTATGAGGCTCTGTCCGGCCTTCGTCATTTGGGGTGGTTCTCGGTGGAATTTTTTGATGAATTTTTTTGACCATCTTATTCATTAAGTCTAGTTTACTCATACCAAATTTCAGCTAACAATTCAATCGCGAAGGCATTCAAATGAATTCTTGAAGATAACTGCGCTTTTAACTGCACAGTTATCTTCAAGAATTCATTTGAATATCTTCCAGATTAAAGTTTTAACTGAAATTTGGTATGAGTAAACTAGACATACTGAATAAGATGCTCAAAAAAATTCATCAAAAAATTCCACCGGGAACCACCCCAAATTGCAAATTATACCGTACGACCTGCGCATCATGAGGATGATGCACCCATTCCCAAACGACGTAGTTTTAACGCAGCAACCCCAGATTAAAAAATTAACGCAGCAATCCAAGATTAAAAAAAAAAAGACAAGCGCCGTTATGAGAGAGCATCAACGAAGAAGGTCATAACACTATCTATCGCCGGCGAGCTTGGGAGGAAGTGGCGGCGGCGCAACTCCTCATCTTTGAGGCGGCGGTGCTCAACCATGATGTCAGATTTGATGTCATAGGGCTCACCACTGGAAGATGTGAGGCAGGCTGGTCATCGAGTGGTCAATCTCTTCTTCTTTCATGTCCAGCAGTGTGCTCATGATGAAGCCAAGCTCTACTATGTTGGTGCCTATGGAGTGTCTTATGCAGAGGTTGCTGGCAAGGAAAGAGGACTGCACGTAGAAGTTAATTAGGATTTAGGAGGTTGTTGGCAAGGGGCAAGAGCACGTAGAATTGAAGTTACTCAGAAATCTTCTTTTATACTATATCAAATGAGACCAATATTGCTTATGTAATTTTAACAAATTATCGAACTATATGTGAGTTACATATTTTTACACGTAAAGTTACATATTTGTACACGTAAAGTTACATATTTATACACACGAGTTGCATTTGGCCTGCCTGAACGCGAGTTACATATTTTTACACGTAAAGTTACATATTTTTACACGTAAAGTTACATATTTATACACACGAGTTACATATTTATACACACGAGTTGTATTTGATCTGGCTGAACGCGAGTTACATATTTTTACACGTAAAGTTACATATTTTTAGACGTAGAGTTACATATTTATACACACGAGTTGCATTTGACCTGTCTCAACGCGAGTTACATATTTTTTTACGTAAAGTTACATATTTTTACACGTAGAGTTACATATTTATACACCCGAGTTGCATTTGGCCTGACTGAACGTGGGTTACATATTTTAACACGTAAAGTTACATATTTTTACACGCAAATGTTAATATGTTAAAATTACATAGGCAATATTGGTCTCATTTGAAAGATCATGAAAAAAAAAAATTTGATATAAATTTTATAAAAATCGGATCAAAAATAAAAAAATTATTAACATTTTAAAAAAAAGGAGAAATAAAAAATAACAAAGCCAAAATATACGAACTGCTTCTTCGCTCTCCCAGGTATACCATGCGCACTGTGGGACGGTTGCATGGCGTACGAACTGACCCCAAATGGCAATGGCCGGACAGTGCCTCTTAAATGAGGTCTTATTTGACCTTTTTTTGTTAGTATGTAACCTTATTTGCCCCTTTTCTCTTTTTTAATATAAAACCGCTCTTTCCTTTTAAGATAAAAAAAAAAAAACTTGCCCCCCTTCTTCTTTTTTTGTCTCTTTCCTTTGTTTTTCTACTCATTGCCCTCTCGTCACAACCTCCTTCCAGGCTGGCAGGCTTCCGAGTGCAAATGCACATTCCACCATTCCATTTGAAGATATTATTTGAAAATACTCTTTTCAACTTTTTTAAGCCAAAAGCTGAAAAGCGATTTTTTTAATCAACCCCAAACACTCCTTTAATCTATCTTAATACATATGTACGGAGTATATATATTTGAAAATACAGTGGTGGTCATGAAAGGAGAGAATGAGTAATGCATGTTACGTTCATCCAATTCCAATGCATGAAAAGAGAAGAGGGAAGTAAGCAAGGTCAGGAACGAGAATTACAATTGCTTACATTGAGCCATTTGAGCCTCGCTGGTTTTGAAACAGCTCTAAAATACACACCTCCACACTAGCTAACACCCACATCTGTGGGGAGAAGCCATCGATGATGCAGAGCCGCTTTCTCGTGCGCCAAAAGTCTGACACGACCCCCCAGTCTCTTCTATGTTGACTATGGTGAGCAGGAATGATAAAATCGGATTAAAAGAAAAAAGATTGGAAAAAGTAAAAAGAAAAGGAAAAAAAACTTAAGAGACAAAGGCAGTGTTTTCCATTGCCTTTTTAAAGCACTTATCAGCTTTTCAATTGAAAAAAGCTACAAAGTGTGTTTGCAAAGATGAAATTCTACTTATTTCTAAGTGCTTTTGGGCTAAAAGGGGAAGCTACCATATACTATCGTACATGCTTTTAATAGCTTCTTAGTATGAAGTATTTTGGTAAATATTTGAAACTTTATGGATATTTATTAGAATGAATATTTTTATTAAACCCAAATTACCCTCCCTTCATACCTCCGAACTCCAACCTGCCTCTCCGCCCTGTCAGCTTCTTCATTTCTCAAACCTCACCTGCCATGCCTCATCCTTCTGGACTTCTGGTATATACACACATATATAGATTAATAGATAAATGTAAATATATATGCGTATTCTTTTTCAATCACATAGCATTTGAACTGGAATCAATAGGAGAACAACGAAGCTCTCAGATCTCCATCTCCCCACCGCTGAAAAATCTTATGTCGCCATCGGAGGCCAAGCTTGAATCTCACTTGCTGCCGGAAATTCTGAAAAGGTTGTCGCCACGATATCATAGCTGCAGCTGAATTGGCTCTTGGGATAGAGCCATAGAGGCGTCGTTGGTCAACTTCAGGGATGAACGATTCGTAGCTTTCAAAAATTATACTGGTATACAGTATTAATCAATACATACATACATACTCCGTAATATTCAATTATTGTAAGGGTTTTTACTTTTTAGTACTTTAAAAGAAATTCATATCAAAAATCACTTTTATATCAAACACTCCAACTTTTACCTTACAATTAAAATCACTTTTATTTACAAACACTATCTACTTTTATTATAAATCATCACTTTTCCAATAATCACTTAAATAAATCATTTTTGAAAAGCACAAACGAAAGCAAACACACCCAAAGTAGAGGACAACCGACTATTAAAGGTTACCTTCAGGTAATTAGGTTCATTGATTATTTGCTAATCGTAAATGAGTTTATATGATTATTTTTATGATACATGGTTTTAAATGATTAATTTGCATTTATAGAATAGTCTATTTGATCATTTTCCAAACCTCAACATGAGCATGTTTCCATTCAAACTTATTTCACCTTAGGAGTGAGTTGATTTTGACCAAAAACCAAATATAGAATCAAAGTAGAAAGTTCGGTTCAGTTTTTTTTTTTTTTTTGCATTTCAAAACTTCAAACCACAGTTTGATTGGTTCAGTTTATTTCGGTTCAGTTTCGTTTTTTTTTTCAACTTTTACTTAAAAAATATCACTTGATTTAAAATGATACACCGTAAATTAAAATGCAAACATCCTAGAATAAATATAATAAGAAATGAGAAGAAGTAAATATGTCTTGATTATATGTGTATGCGGGAGAGATAAAGTATATATATTTTTAATTTACATTGTTTGTGACTAGTTTGAAAAAAGTTCATGAATATATACGCCCTATGTGATATACTTCATAGTTGATATGAATATTTATTTGTTCTATCAATATAAAAACTTTAAGTTACATAAAAATAAAAGTTAATTACTACTTATACAAAAATATATTATCTTTTCCATCATTTTCTATGGAGCCAAAGATTCATTATTTTTTTTGGCTTGAGAATATGATGGAATAAAGCAAAATGACTCACTAAACTGTCTATGCAATAACAGTCTCTCTGTGCTTTAGTACAGGGGTAAGATTGCGTACATCCGACCTCCCCTTACCCCACCATAAGTGGGAGACTTTGCGGCACTGGAATAAATGAAAATGATTATAATGATAAAAACATACTTCGTATTATCATCATGTAACAAATTACAACATACTCATACATAAAAGACATAATAGATCAATTTAACTACATCGTTAAATGCAATGAGTGCGTAAATGCATTTTATAAACTAAACCAAACTACACATAACACAAAAATTAATTATATAACATAAGAGAGCGAAAGATCATTGATGATAATAGGATAAATGTTCAACAATTAACAAATAAAATTTCATATTTTAATTAGTTCGATTTATTTGGTTTGGTTCTGTTTTGAAAAGTAAAAATCGAATCTGAACCAAGTAATTGCGATTCGATTTATTTTTTTACATTCGATTTTATTTTTTTTTGTAGTGATTCTATTTTATTTGGATATTATGGTTTTGGGCTTTTGAATTTTTGGATGCATCCATACCTCAGTTAAGCTATCCTGCCATTTTATTTTAGTACGGAGTATTTATTTTTGTGTTCAAGGAAAAAATTTGTGTCACATGACACCTGGCGCTTTGGCAAATAACTGAAGTCGGTCGCGAAAACAGCCACGTCGCTCATCTTGCCGTTGGTGTCGGAAAAGGTGAACATCACCGGCCAGAGTTTTGCGTCGTTCGTCTATAACTCCGACGGCTAGTTTAGTCACAGCCACTGGCATGAATTACGAGCGGCGGCTTATAGCGGCGGCGAAGTACACCTACGCCGATGACTCAAGTGCTGCAGACGCGTCGCAGCTTAGCTCCGCCGACTTAGGAGTAGAAGCGACGCTTAAGCCTCACCAAGTTGAAGGAGTCTCATGGCTTATCCGGAGATATCGTCTCGGCGTCAATGTCATTCTCGGTAAGGGGCACAAACTGGAAAACTGAAAAATTTGCTCAAGTTTTAATTAGCCTAACTTATGCCCTTTCACTGCAGGGGATGAGGTATGGCTTCCAATGTCCGTGGGTTTGTTTCCCTAAACTCATGCCTTTTTATAGTGTCATCGCTTGAAATTTCAGAATAAGCTGAACTGGATTTCTTTAGTGTACATTTATTATGTGTAGTCTCAATAAATTGGAAAACTTTGCTCCATTTGGTTTTGGGTGTGAAATGTTCATTGGAAGATGGGATTGGGGAAAACGCTGCAAGCAATCTCTCTTTTGAGCTACTTGAAGGTTTCACAAAAATCTCCTGGTCCTTTTTGTGAGTAAAGACCCCTTCTTGTTTTAAACATGTTAAAAAATAAGCTTGAAAGTATTTGACTGGGATGTTCCATTTTGAAGATCCTTATTGCATTCCCAAAATGTGTTGCAGTGGTATTGTGCCCACTTAGTGTGACTGACTCTTGGAAGTCTGAATTTGCAAACTTTGCTCCAAAGCTAAATGTTATCTGTTATAATGGGGAGAAAGAGCATCGGCGCAACCTGCGTAGGAAAATGCACGAGCATGTTACCAAGGAATCACAGGTGGATATAATTTGTGAACTAATTGGTTTTTTCAGCTCTTTTTGCAAGTTTAAACCTCATTGTGTTGCAATTTATGCCATCACGATTTTACATTTTAAACCCATTTCTTAGTGTTGCTATCATATCCTATATGTATTGCGTGTTATGGTGTGATTTTTGTACCTTCTTAGCACAGGTATCCAAGGCTCCATCACTGCCTTTTGATGTTCTATTAACAACTTATGACATAGCATTGGTTGATCAAGAGTTTCTTTCCCAAGTTCCATGGCATTATGCAATAATTGATGAAGCACAAAGACTGAAGAATACACACAGTGTATATTTCTATGTTTCCCTCAATTCTCTAAAAAGTCAGAATTTTATTTAGAATTCTAATATCACAGACCAACTTTGGGTTGGCATTTATGCTGCCGTGTTGCACACTTGCACCTATGCAGTTTGGGATCTTCTTGTTGAGAGAATCTTCGGTGTGACCCCCCATTTCTGGGTTACCATATAAATTTATAGATGCAATGAATAAAATATTTGCATCTAGTATCACTTAAAAACAAACCTGACATTTAAAATATATCTTGTAAATTAGATATTGCTATATAGCAAAATATGCTATATATACTACTGCAACTATTGCTTTTATTGCTATATTGTTATTACTAGCGTTTACTCGCACAAGGCATGAAAGTATTTGTCCTATATTAAAGTAATAATTTTTGGGGAGAATCATTACATGCGTAATTGTTATGAGATCTTTCCTCAAATCATGTTTCCATCGTTATAGCCAAATTTCTCTAATTAAAAGTTCGTTTGGTGACACTATTTTTCAGCTTGTCAACTTTATCCGTCAACTTTTTCACCAAACACGTGACTTTTAATTTCGCGCACTGAATTGCGTAATAATAAAAACAAGTTAGTCTTAAATTACTTTTTTGGCTGAATTGACTGAAGTTACTATAGAGACCATTTTAGCTATTTTTCATATAATTTTTAATAAAATATATTTAAATATGAATATATGATGTATATTTTTTTTTATAAATGAGAAGAATTAGCCAATACAGCCACTTCAGTTAGATCTTCATAAATTTCAGCAGAATTAGTCAATTTAGCTAATTTCGGTGGTGTTACCAAATGAGTTTTAAATTTTCAATTTTAGTATGAAGATTTTTTTTTTTTGCTTGAATTGAGACCATCTCATGATTTAGTGAATACACAAATAAAGTAGCTAATACATACGAGGTACTACGTATACTAGTGCACAAAATAATTAAAAAGGAAAACATTTAGTCTACTTAAATACCATCGTCGGTGTCTTCATGGTGATAAGTGAACATTTAGTTAACAGAGGATGAGACGATGTTTAAGGGTATAAAAGTATGTGTGATAAGTGACATAAATAATGGGTACCAACCCTCATTCATAAATACTTCCTCCGTTCCTTTTTAATTGCAACAGTCAACATTTCACGTTTGCCAACGCACAAGTTTGACCATTAATATCTTTCATTCTTTATTAGTAAAAAAACTAAAAAAATCATATTTTGAAAATTTAGAATAAGACGAATTTAAAAATATTTTTTAAAAATTTAATTTATATACATCAATTAATAAAATGTAGTCAAAGTAGAGCATGTGAATAGTGCAAAAAGTCCAATGTTGCAACTAAAAGAGAACGGAGGTAGTATAAGTTTTTTAGATTATTACTATTAATTTGTTTGTTACTTTGCATTTGTTACATGGATGGAAATTACAGCTTCTATTGTGAAATGAAATTTTAATAGGTCTTGTACAGAGTCCTGAAAGAACGGTTTCTCATGCCAAGGAAATTACTGATGACTGGCACACCTATACAAAACAACCTTTCTGAACTTTGGGCGTTGATGCACTTTTGTATGCCTTCAATTTTTGGGACATCAGAGCAGTTCCTCTCTGCATTCAAGGAAGCAGGAGATTCTTCATGTAGAACTTTTTTTAATCTCATGTGTCTACAGTATAAGTTTTCTCTACTTTTTCTCACCAACTTTGTTTAATAGTAGCCATGGCGGTCTGGGGGAATGGTGTGGCGCTTTTTGTGTCAGCTGTCAGAGGAAATTTTTGGAGTGTCACACTCCATAGCAGTTCTATAGGATGCAACCTCATGATTATAAATGTGCCCATAAGCCATAATCTGTCATTGATAAAACACTTTCACACGATTATAGCTCTTATTAGGTTCACATTTATGACAACAGTTGTCTATATTTGAATAAGGTACTCTCTAAGTATCTGCATGAGTCCACATAGATTTCTGTGTGCAGTTTGGGTGTAATTTTTGCATGCATGCTTACATACTTACATAAAGACACCACATGTGGACATGGTGCACATCAGTACATGCATACTTAATGCAAAATTCTCATACAAATAGTTTGTGAGATTTTCCATCATTTGCAATGGAGCCAAAGATTCATTACTTTTTGGCTTGAAAATATGATGGAATAAAGCAAAATGACTCATTAAACTGTCTGCACTTCTTTGTTATGAAGCAGTAGTCAGTCCATGCAATTTTGGACTCGATTTTCACTATGGGTCATCCGGAAACAGTCTCTCTGTGCTTTAGTACAGAGGTAAGACTGCGTACATCCGACCCCCCCTTACCCCACCGTAGGTGGGAGCCTTTGCGGCACTGGGGTAAATGAAAATGAAATGAAATGAAATAGTTTGTGAGATGCAATAAGTAACCAATACTTCCTTTGACATGAATTAATTTAATGTTGGTAGGGGATTTCATTTTTACATGCTTTATCTTGTTTCAGATATTTAATTTTCAGTGCTGACAATTGTGACACCGATCTCTTCTTACTCCAATTACTGTGGCTATTCTTACAGGCCTTGATGCAGGAAGAGCCAATAGGCAACTCAAAATATTGAAATATATACTAGGGGCTTTTATGCTTAGAAGAACTAAAACTCAACTCATTGAATCTGGAACTCTTGTACTACCTTCTCTAACTGAGATAACAGTGTGAGTTCTATGGAGTAGCTGCAATATTCTGATATCCAATATTGGCTTTTATTCTGGTTACAGCCACCAACTCAAATGAATAGAGATTAGTGTAATCTTATGTCTATTAGTATCTTGCATGGCTACTTTTGAAAAAAGATATTGTCTGATAGCTAGGTTTCTTGTGATAATATCTTTGATAGGATGGCACCTTTAGTTGAACTGCAGAAGGCGGTGTATATGTCAATATTGAGGAAGGAACTACCCCAGTTGCTAGCTCTTTCTTCTGGAGGCTCAACTCGGTCATTGCAGAATATTGTAAGCAAATAATTCACAAGTTTAGTACCTTCACATTTGGATTAAGTGATTGACTATATGTTTATACTCTTCTCTGTTGCTCAACATTTTCGCTGTGAATATTTTTTGCTTTAATTGAATTCATTGTCAGATCCAATGTTTGGAAAACTTGAGCATACTTCTCCCGAGAAAAAAGAGAAAATAAGAAAAATAACATGAAGAAGTCACATTAATACGTGGTTGCTAAAGCTTATTCGCATGACATTTCTCAAATCTCAATAATGTTGAGCAGCTAGGTGCATAAATCAGCAGTTCTTGATTCACTGATTAAGATATGACTGAAAGAGAAGCCTCTTGTGGAATTATTTGCCTCATTTTCATCTTAGATACTTGCATACACAAGAACTTACCTGCTTCCAAAGTTTCATGTGCACATCAATGACCAGCTATGATATTTATATCCCTCCCTGGGAATGCATTTGTTTCACTGTGTAATGCTTTTTACTGCATAAGTACTGCCTTTTGATGTTTACTTATATGATCAAACTCTGGCTGAACTCTCCCTAGGATCTTATTAATTGCTTCTTCCAGGTAATACAGCTAAGAAAAGCATGTAGTCACCCTTACCTTTTTCCTGGCATTGAGCCTGAACCATATGAAGAGGGTGAGCACCTGGTGCTGGTAGGTTTAACATCATTTCACTTGTAGTAACACTATTTCTTTTCGATTCTGTGAACTGGAGCAGATCAAACATATAGAGTAGTACTGATATTCTTATACCAAAAACAGTATATCATTAATGTTTTTAAGTGCTCCTATACATCCCCCCTCATTTAGTCTTTTGTTCTTTTAGCATCTTTGCTCATTGAGATTTATAATGTTTTCTGACAGGGTAGTGGCAAACTTCTTATTCTGGATTGTCTACTTCAGAAATTGCATGTTTCTGGACATCGTGTTCTTCTTTTTGCCCAGATGACCCAAACGCTTGATATATTGCAAGTATAATTGTTGTGGGTACTCCTGATTAACAGTTGACTATATTTCTCTTCAAAGTTGTGTGTGATGTATTCTCATGCAGGATTACCTGGAGCTGAGAAAATATTCCTATGTGCGTCTAGATGGTTCTATTCGGGCAGAGGAACGATTTGCTGCAATAAGAAGTTTTGGCCAGAGACTATCCAAAGGAAGTTCAGATTCAGAAGCTGATCAGCATGAATCTTTTGTCTTTATGATTTCAACAAGAGCTGGAGGGGTTGGATTGAATCTCGTGGCTGCTGATACAGTGAGTATGGCACAACTTCGTTATATGGGATTATCAAATCGAATCTGAACTACATTTTATTCACTATTCAATCATAATAACTTCAAAAGTATTTACTGAGCTGCTTCTGTTTTTTGTTCAAATTTTCCAATGCTCACTTTCAACATTCCTCCTAGAGTATTTGCTGTCTGAAAGTATGATAACCCCTCAGCAGCTATTTGTGCTGCTATCGTCGTGATATTGAAATAGGCATTTTGTCCTAATGCTCTCTTATTACTTTGAAAGGGATCATAATCCATGAGCGGCTCAGTGCAAAAGTGGGATGGAATCAAGTCTGGTTAAGTAATTGATTATTTAGTTACTAATTAATAGGTATCTTGTTAGGGATCTACCTATTAGATTAATAATAATAATTCTAATAGGAATACTAGAAGAATAGACACTGCTTAGTGGGCCTGTTATTTTGGGCCTATTATTATAGAGAATAATAAGAGGGCTTATACTATAAATAGAAAGGGGAAGGAAGGCATAAGGAGGCTTTTGGACTGTTTAGTCTCTGGGAACTGGGAAGATCTGAGAAAGTCGGTTTCTCTTATCTTTGGGGGCTTCGGCCTGGTTACTGTACTGTTCTTCTTGATTCAATAAAAGTATTCATCTGTTTCTTCTTAATCTTTCTGTAATTGTTCTGGATTTCTGGAGGTCTCTAACATTGGTATCAGAGCGTGTTCGATCGCTGGATGAGATACACGCGCGAAAAAATGGAGGGAAGAATTAACGACGTTGAACGGAATCAGAGAGAGATGGAAGCGAGGACTGAACGACATTTGCAGGAAATGCAAAACACTTTGCTGGAGAGATTGGCAGCGATGCAAACTGACATCGCGAGGTTGCAGGTGAATCGATCGGAACGATCGAGGAGCCAATCGCATCAATCGCATAGATCCAGTACTTCGCATCGAACAACTACCTCGCATCACAGCACTCGTCATCAACACAGGAAGAACAGCTATCACTCAGATGATTCAGATCATCATTCCGAACACTCTGAATCGAACAGCCATCGTGATCCATACTGGATTCACAGGAAGCAACATCCGGTTGGAAGGAAGATCGATCTACCTATTTTTAACGGAAAGGACGTGTTCGGTTGGCTGGTGCGGATGAACCGATACTTCCGGTTGAACCGTACTGATGAGGAGGACAAAATTGATGTGGCAGTGGTGGCTATGGAAGACCAATCGCTGAGTTGGTTCCAATGGTGGGAGGGACAAGCTCATCGACAAAACTGGAAGACTTTCACAAAAGCTCTGGCGAAGCGTTTTCAACCTGATTTGGTGCAGGATCCGTTAGGACCTTTATTAAGTTTAAAACAGAAGGGGACAGTACAAGAGTACAGAGATCAATTTGAAACAGCCATAGCTTTTCAAGGACACCTCACTGAAGAAGTCCTGAGAGGGATTTTTATGAAGGGATTAAGGAGAGATGTCCGAGCTGAATTGAAGCTATATTCTGCAAAGTCCTTGGCAGCAGTAATGGATACAGCTACTTTAATTGACAACAAGAATCTGGAAGCCTTGATTGTAAGGAACAAGGAAGAGGGGAGGAAGAAATCACAGAACAAAATTCAGAATTGGGGAGATGACAGGAATTGGAAAAATTACAAAGGCAATCTTGAGATGGTATCCAAGAGGACTGAGGATTTCAACATCAACAGAGAGGAAGGAGAACAGAATAAGAAAAGTGGCCCAAGATTATCTCAAGAAGAGTTAATGGAGAGGAGCAAAAAGGGGCTTTGTTTCAAATGTGGTGATAAGTGGGGAAGAGAACATATATGTAAGATGAAAAACTTCAAAATGGTTCTGGTGGAACAGTCTGAAGGTGAAGAAAATTCTGAGGAAGACTCTGGTAGTTCTGAGAGGGATAAGGCTACTCACATGGAACATAAAACTATGCAGCTGTCCATTTGGAGTAAGGAGGGCATATCTTCTATAAAAACTTTTAAGGTTAAGGGTAAAATGAGCTGGCCTGGAGGAGAGAGGATGGTAAATATCCTCATTGATACTGGAGCTTCACACAATTTTTTATCACAGAAATTAGTGGAAGAATACAACATTCCTTTTCAACCTATACAGGGGTATAAGGTCCAAATTGGGAATGGTAAATGCATTACCAATGCGGGCAGAAGTAATATGGTAAAGATGAAGATTCAAGGCATAGATATTCAGCAGACTTACTACCTGCTAGAGCTGGGAGGCACTGATGTAGTGCTGGGAATGGACTGGCTAACTGGATTGGGAGACATGGAGGTTAACTTTAAGGAGCAAATCTTAAAGTGGAGACAACAAGACAAGAATTGCATCATTAAAGGGAATACTGCTTTAAATCAGATGGAGTTGTCTAGCTTGGAGCAGATGGAAGAAACTGAAGGACCACGGAAGAAGATCAGATCAGACACTGAATATAGTGTTGAAGGAGTTGACTCTGAATCCTCAGACACTAAATGTTGCTTGGTTTTATCGTTGCATCACACTGGCAAAGAGTTTCAGGGCATGTACATAAGTTCTGCTAATGGTGTAGGTGGTACACCTCAGGAAGATAAGGAGATAATGGTGGCTATTGAAGGCCTGAAGACTAATGAAGAAACTGAAAATTCATCAGAGATATTATATGCTGCAGTAACATCTATGAATTGGAATAATCAAGTAGAGAAGCTCTTTTCTCAGAAATCAGTTAGATATTGGGAAGGTAGAAGCGCAAGGAAGAGGATGAAGCAAAAGATCTTGGCTATCTCTTACCACCCACCTTGAGGGCAAGGTGGATGTTTAGGGAGGGAGTATTGTTAGGGATCTACCTATTAGATTAATAATAATAATTCTAATAGGAATACTAGAAGAATAGACACTGCTTAGTGGGCCTGTTATTTTGGGCCTATTATTATAGAGAATAATAAGAGGGCTTATACTATAAATAGAAAGGGGAAGGAAGGCATAAGGAGGCTTTTGGACTGTTTAGTCTCTGGGAACTGGGAAGATCTGAGAAAGTCGGTTTCTCTTATCTTTGGGGGCTTCGGCCTGGTTACTGTACTGTTCTTCTTGATTCAATAAAAGTATTCATCTGTTTCTTCTTAATCTTTCTGTAATTGTTCTGGATTTCTGGAGGTCTCTAACATATCTATTCACAATGGTGTACCATATGAATCTCACAAACGGAAATTCTGATATTAAATCATTACCATATACCTTTTTTTAATCTCCCCCAACAGAAAATTACCCCTTTCTTCTTTTTGGTGCTGCAGTGCTGCATACTTAGATTGATTATGTATTTATGTTATCAGCCACATGGACCTATTGACTTCTTACACACGATAGGTTGCAGGTTATATTTTATGAGCAGGATTGGAATCCCCAGGTGGACAAGCAAGCTATGCAGCGTGCTCACCGGATTGGTCAAATGAATGATGTTTTATCTATTCACTTAGTTACCAAGAGTACAGTGGAGGAGGTGAATGTGCATAATATAAAAATCTATATAATACCTGTTTGGTTTACAGATAAAGATCCATCTCTTCTGTGCTAGGTCATCATGCGAAGAGCAAATAAAAAATTGCAGCTGAGCCATAGTATCATAGGCAAGGATATTACAGATGGGGATATGAAAGAGAATGGGAAAGGAATTCCAGGCGCAGATTATGGTGATTTACGATCTATCGTACTTGGCTTACACATGCTAGATCCCATGGAAATTAGCAAAGAAAACTCTGATAAAGTGGATATGAGTGAGTTAAATGCAATGGCTGAAAAAGTAGTTCTGTTACGCAAGGAGCGACGTTTGGATAAGTTTCAGATGAATTATGCGGACATACGTAACGGGAGTTGTTCTATCACTGAGGGAGTAGATTCTGTTCATCTGGATCCTGCTGTAGACGAAATTTCATACCAATCTTGGATTGAAAAGTTCAAGGAAGTATTGCAGGAAAATAATGCCACAACTATGGAAACGGGAAGTAGTAGAAGGTTACTGGAGGAGAATCATTTAAAAGCTGAAGCTGCAAGGAAAAGGGCAGAGGAGAAAAAAATTACCAAATGGGAAGCTCTAGGTTATAATTCATTGTCTGTGAAAGATCCAATTTGCCCTGATGATAAGGATGCTATATCGGATTCTGGTTCTGTCCATTTTGTTTATGGGGATTGCACACTTCCCTTGAACGTGTGTCCATCAGAGCCAACAGTTATTTTCAGGTAAGCACGCCCTCAAGGTTGTCATTTTCAGGTATTTTCAGGCATGCACCCCAAGCTTGTAGAAGGCTGATTACCTTTTTCATTCTGTCTGTTATTCATATTCCTAGGTATACGTGCTTAGTCTCTTGCTCTTTTTGGCGTGAAGTTGATCCCAAGGCTAGCATAGAAGGTTTCATTTACTCCATCCCAAAAAGAAAAGATAGAGGACCCCATTTCAAGAGCGTTTGTCCCTAAAAAAGTCCTTAGGAGTCTTTAAGTAAAATTCCTGTAAAAGCCAAGCTGCAAGTGCTTGTAGTCAATTATTCCAACTAATCTTGGAATTCGCAGGGTTATAAGTGATCTTTCATAATTTGTAAAAGCTTGTACCTTGATTGTGTCTAAAAATAAAAAGTTATACTTTACTCAAAACAAAACTCTTTTTTGAGATGGAGGGAACATTTTTTATCAATCTGATTATTTGAATGGATTATTCTCATGATAAAGTTAATTTCTTGACATTTTGTGGTGGCAATGTGTGGAGTGGTGATGGAGATGGCTGTGGTTTCCTAATGGCTAACATTTTTTGGCAGCTGCGTTGATAACTCAGGAAACTGGGGACATGGAGGAATGTTTAATGCACTAGCCAAACTTTCACCAAGTATCTCTAAGGCATATGAGCGAGCTTCTGAATTTGGTGATCTTCACTTAGGTGATCTTCATCTCATAGAAATTACAGGTAAACCATTTTTATCAGCTCTGTTCAGGTGATACCCCACTTCACTTGGTTAAGCCTATATTTTGATATGTGTATGAGATTTCATAATAATTGAAGTAATAGCATAATAGTTGATCATGTAACATTTCGATCACCATCTAGAAGCAATTTGTAAAGATATAGACTAAGCCCTCGAAAACCATCCAGAAATCTTTATCCAAACTGACCCAACAAGATCCTCCTTTTCTTTCACTTGTAATTTTCATTGTGAAATTGGGAGTATGCATGTTTCTTATTGGTAACCTTATTTATTTCCTTTCCAATTTTCTGGGAGTTAAAATGTTTCTGAACCTTCAATTGTATGTATTGTGCTGTGGTAACAGAGGATTGCAGTAGTAACAGTATGTTACCTCATACTCCCCAATGGGTTGCTTTGGCTGTTGCGCAATCATACAATCCGAGGAGAAAAGTCCGGAGGAGTAACATATCCATCCCCGACCTAGAAGAGTGCCTACTGAAAGCATCCTATGTTGCTGCTCAGAAGTCTGGTATTTTGGTTCATATGCTCTCATTATGTGTTAATTAGTAACTAACTAACTACTAACTAGTACTTCAATTTCCACGTCTCATTTTGGATACGGCCCCTATCCCATCAGCCATTGACATATAGAGTATATAAAAAATCGCACTTGTAGCCCCCTCAATCGTTTGATAGTAAGTTATAATGAGACCTATATTTCAATATTTTTAAATCTAGTTCCTTGGTTGTTTTAATTTAGATACAATTTGTCCATCTTGTTACATCACTGATTACACCTTTAAAAATTGGGGTTTGTAAGGCATTCTATTTTTACTGAGAATGCTTTCATACAATCTTAATACTAAAGGGCAGTTTAAATGGTGGGGAATAATGCATCTCAGTTATAAGTTTATAAAGATTGGAGGAATAAACTTACAAAGGGGGAATTTGGTCTTTGGTTTAAAAACATAGAACCTCCCATGCGTTGCCCCAATATTTGACTTCTCCTCGAACATGCACCCTAGAGCACCCGAGAGTAAGGTGCAAAGTCAAGTGTTAAAGGAAGATCACGGGTGGAAGTCCTTGGGACGGGGGTGTAAGGATCAAATTTCTCTATACAGTTTTTGATGTAGAGGCTCCCAGATTAAAGTGTCAAGAATCAGGCTATTAAAAATACAACCTTTCCAAGAATAGTTTACCCCCTCTGTCCCAGCAAGAGGAGTCATGTTTGGAGAACCATTTTAATCTTAGCATTAGAACCATGACTGATTTTTTAGATGGTAGTAGTGCATGATATCTTGTCACTGCATTGGTTTCATGGTCAATTGGTCATTTCCCTCTCTCGTAGTAATATACGTAAATTTTCTGCTATTTCTGTTATTACGATTTTATCATCAATGCTTTTCAAGCTGCCTATGAAAAGGCGTGTGATTTAGACTGAACTTTTCATTTTAATTGCTTTGGTTTGTTTTCTCTTTGGGGGCGTGTGTGAAGCATCAATCCACATGCCACGAATTGGCTATCAAGGTGGGATTGACAGGTCAGAATGGTACACCATTGAGCGTCTCCTGCGGAAATATGCAGCCATTTTTGGCATTAAGTTTTATGTGTAAGTCTCTCTGTTGCGCACATGCGACGTCCATCTTTTCCACTTCACTGCTCTATTGTGCACTAGGAATGCAGTTAGCTTTCAGGCTTCTTCCATTCGACATTTTAAATGGGTATCTTCTGTGCATGCAGGTATTACTTTGGGCGTTCTGCACAAGCATAGACTACAAACCACGCCTCTTTACATCTCTTATATACATCTTTTATGAATTGAGTGTTGCTATTATTTATGACGTGTGGGCTTATGCACTGTTCGTGACCTACTAACACAGTATCTCTTTTTAAGGTATCCAACTTGGTTAGATAGTTTTTTTTGTTCCAAAATTATGATCTAATACTTTGAATTTCACCAACTTCATATTTTCTCACTTTAACGTTTTATTTTACGTTCAATAATACTTTGAATTTTTTTGATTAAATTCGACTATTGATTATGTTAATATATCGAAATTAATAAATTATGACCCAAACCATGTCCATACATTTTATTTTGGGGGGATTTCCTTAAATGTAACAAAACTGAAGCTCATTTCTAAAAAGTGACGACTTATACACATGGACAAAAATGTGACAATTAAAAACATGATATAATCATCTGATTAATATGTCACTACTCACTACCAAATTTTTATACAAATGCTGAAATGCTAGTTTTTTATGCCATCTATCGATGGATCTCACTGTCGTACAGGTGTACTGTCGCTCTAAAACATGTTACCACAACAGCTAACAAAAGTTATGATTCATAACTTTTGAAGACTTTTTTTGTCGAATTTTTTAAAAAAATGAAAAAATCATCATAACTTTTCGGCGATTTTTCAACAGTGGTTTCCGAGTTCGGATGGGTGGGCTGGGAACTGGGATAGAGATTAAATAAAAATTGCAATAAGAAAACATTTAGACTAATTAAGTAAAAAAAGGAATTTAGTCATTTTTATATTTCATAAAGCTAGAGATAATATGTCCCTTTTCTAAAAAATAAAAATGAGGTTTTTTCTGAAGCAGTGGTGGACTCGGGCCGGGCCTAGGCCCGACCAGGCAGCTGGTTAGGAAATGTTGGGCTCGGGACCGGCCCGGGTAGCCACCGGGTTCGGGCCGGGCCTCTTACATTTTTTTTCTTTTTTTAATTACCCCGACCACCCCCCTAACCCCAACCCCCCAAACCACTCCAAATGGCCCTAATACCTAGCCTAACCCGGGGATTTAAAAACAAGTTGAAAAAAAAAGCCCGGAACCGGGCCCAGACTGGCCGGGCCGATTCATGTTTTGGGTGACCCCGAGCCCAGACCAGAAACCTCTTGGGTCGGGCCTACCCGGACCGGTCACCGGAATAGTGCCGGTCCCGGGTCGGGCCACCCGGCCCGAGTCCATCACTATTCTCAAGTACAATTAGAATGATATACATGGATAAAAATGTGAATAAAGTGTATATTGAATATGAATATACTTTTACCATCACTAAATTGTAATGTTTGCACATAATAATAGTCATTAAAAGTCACCAAATCATATTTGAATCCTCTATCTATACTGATACAGAATAATATTTTGGAATTATTTTAATAAAAACAAAATCATGGAAGTGAAAGCCAATTTGATTGAGCTCTCCATGTGCACACTTTACAAAACGTCTAGTACGGAGTTAAATACTGATAGATAGCCTTATACTACTGTTGAACAATAGTCCATTATAACTGTCCAAAAGCTACTATTTATACTAGTTATGAATGTTTAATACATAAAATGCACATACACGTGTAAGCATGTGATGCGGATGCCGGCACGTGGTGCGGCATTAAATGTGGTAGTTGGCGTCAATGCTGAAGGCTCTTGTTTGAGGTCTTGCTCAAGGAAGCGGATGTTCCAGACTTGTCGTTGAGTCAAACTAGGGTGATTCCCGGAGTTTAGCGCCTTTGGGCTTGGGCCTGGGGGTGTTCCTTGCAAGGGGTGGACTGCCTTGTATTTGGGTCGTGGTATCCGGGTCACTTGTGAGTGTTGGGCCTGTTCACTGCAGGCATGGGGGGGGGGTCCTGAGCCATATAGTCCATCAAATATTTATGAATGTATGATGAATTTTTTTAACGCGCTTCTTACTAGATCAAGTTATCGAAATTCTAAAGTCTCATGACTCATAAGATCAGATGATAAAAATGTCCCACTCAATGAAATATATTGGAAAACAAAGCGGACATAAATAATTTTAAACTGATCAAATTTAAGTTTAACTGTTTAAGAAGATTATATATTTGAGTCCCTTTTTATGTCTAAATTCAAGTGCTACAACTTCTATGCACGACACTTTGATAAATTTTAATGATTTCGTCTTTATTTGACTAATTTTTTTTTAATTACAGTTAGAATTATATTTTAGGGTAAACATTAAATATCTTTTGTACTTAAATAGTTTGTCATTAATTAATAAACATAACTTATAAACCCCTATTGTAGTAATTTTGATTTGTGAGTTCTCTTTATTGATGTATTTTATGATATGCTAAGTAGGTGGCCACATTATTGAACGGTACATATTGTTATAAACATATTGATCTTAAAAAGTTTGGTGTCTCACATCAATAATAATGTTTATTAATTTACTCATTTAGTCATTTAGATGTTTGTTATAACGAAAATTAATTGACATGTCCACTTCGAGTACATTTCAAAGATTGTGTGCTATGAATTAATGTAGTCCCTCGATAATAATTGATGTTATTGACGTGTTATAATTCTTATATATGAAACATCGTAGTAACAATATTGAAATTATTATTATGCCTTAACGTCATTATTATATCAAGTATTACCTTTAAGTGAGTAACTAAAAAAGTATTGATTAGACATATTATGCATGTTGTAGAGGTATGCAAACGATCGTGATAGATTTGGTCACATAAAACACGAGCTAAATATTACGGAGTATTTTAGTCCATTCACTAGTAAGAATAAGTTATCTACAAGTGAAATGTCTGTTGTTTAGAATAGTCTTATTAATTTAGAAGTCTAAAAATATCATTCAATAATAATTAATAAAGACAATATCGAGGATGACATACAATTTTGTTGTATAAAACACTCACTGTCCGTGTTGTATGAATTTATATGGTCACATGCCTAACTAATACGGAGTATTAATTATTAGGTGGAAAGCCAATATAAAGCTTCAATTCCAACTTTTAATGAAGAATAGATAATTTTGATATTATCATACGGACTAATTGATTACAGATTATTTTCAATCTAAAATCTAAAATCTTATAAAGAATGAGTGTTAGGGCCTTATAGGTATAGAAAAGGGGAATTTGACTTTGCACCCCACATTTGGGATGAAATTGGACTTTGCACCCCATTTCAAAAAAACTTTGATTTTGCACCCCATTTCACTTCAAAATCCTTTGACCTTGCACCCCATTTTGAAATTTTCCTTCACAAATTTTAGATGATAGGGTGCAAAGTCAAATGTTTTTTAAAATGGGGCGCAAAGTCCAATATCACCCAAAAAGTGGGGTGCAAAGTCAAATTCTCCCTATAGAAAATGTGTTGGTGTAATATCAATGCATTAAGAAATTATACATTTGAGCTATACTAATTGTTCAACTCTTTTCTATTCCCTGATTTCCCTAGGCATCCGTTAACTGTCCTCGTTAAAACAAACGTGCACTCTAGTTATCAATGCAACATTTAAGTTTTGCGAATTAGAGTCTTTTTTCAATTGTGGCTATGGTGAGTTATGACTGTTCAATTCCCTCATTTCAGTTGTGGCTATTGTGAGTTATGACTGAAATGAGGGAATTGAACAGTCATAACCCACAATAGCCACAATTGAAAAAAGACACTCCGTAATACATAGAACTTAAATGTCGCATTAATAACTAAAGAGTGCATGTCTGTTTTAACGAGGACAGTTAACAGATGTATAGGGAAATCAGGGAATAGAAAAGAGTTGAACAATTAGTATAGCTCAAATGTACAATTTCTCAATGCATTGATATTACACCAACACATTTTCTATACCTAAAAGGCCCTAACACTCATTCATGTTTATAAGATTTTAAATTTTTGTTTGAGAGGTTGAATATGAGGTTGAAGAAAACAAAAGGCAAAACAGAGGACTGAAGAGAAGAGGACAAGTGGTTACGACCTACGCGTTGGGAGTGCAGAGAGGGCGGAAGTTGGTTCCGGCGACACCGAATGATGGAGGAGCGTAGAGAGACTCTGACGCCGACGCTGACATCAAGATACAGAGTATATGCTAAGGAGCAGGGATGAGAAGAAGCCACGTGCTTCCAGTATTAGTGCTACGAGGAGAAGCGTTTTTAGAATGTCAATCAGGAAAGTTTGATTGTTTAGAGTAAGATTGTGGGTCTTCTTCTTTTTTCAACTTCTGGGATCTCTGTTGTTGGTTGATACTGTAATTGGTTGCTGATTTTTGAGATTTCTGGGGCCGATAACATATAGGGCCGGCCCTGGCCATGCGCTCCAAGTGCAACGGCACAGGGCCCAATAAAACTAAAGGCCCAAAAATAATGAATAATATGGAATATTATGTAGTATACATAGCTCAAGATAATTCTCCCAACAAAAATGGTATCGAATGGTTAGATGTTCTTCTGTAATTGATTTAACAAATTTATATTATTGGACTATTAAGTTGTTAAATTAAATTTGTAATTGTTTCACTATTATACTTTTATAAGTAAAATAATTTTGTTTTTTGAGTTTGTAATTATTAGTTACTACGTAGTAACTTGTTTTATACGTAAAATTTTTAATAGTTAATTACTATTTTTATTTTATCATCTTGATAGATAGTGGTCCTAATTTATTAGAAGCAAAAAAGGCCTATTTTTTTCTCTTGCACATGACCTCCATTTTTCTAGGACCACCCTGTTAACATACATACATACATCTAAATGGCTGCTATATTCTCATGCCCAGGTTATGTAATTAACCAGGCAGGTCTCAATCCAACTTCCACAAACATGTTGTTTTCTTTTACTTAATTCTTTAAATCTATTTGTTGTTTTCATTCATTTTCATTTCTATTGATTTAAGATTTGTACTACGTATATTTTGAGATTCAATTGTAATTGTAATATTAGTATATGGTATTCATATTCAATAATTATTATAATTTCTTAACAACTACTCCGTATTAATATAATGAACCCAGAATAATTGTTTAACTTTTTGTTGGCTAGGCCATTTCTTGTGAAGTTGTTATTTTGAACTAAACTACACACTAGATATATTTGAGCCATTCAAAAAAGATCATCGAAAAATAGAAGTTTGTTTAATAAATCTAGAGTACTTTTTATCGTACTACTATAATTTTAGAAAACTGTTTGGATGTACTATATCGTCCTTAAAAAAGGTAAAACTTAATTTAATCATTTTACATTGTGATTTCA